GGTGAACAATCGATAGTCGAAAGAAACAGGTCAAAATTATCGTAAACCGCCAGGTCTGAATTAAGGGGTCATGCTCACTCAGAAATTTAAAAAAAATCGATTATTCACTTTCTATATTTTCTTGATGTACAACATCTCGAGAATATTCTGTGCAAGTTTCAAGGTAATCCAATTAAAAATGACAGAGTTACAGGCGTTAAAAAATGAATATTTTATATAAGTGTAAGCTTGACTTAAAACTTTAAACGCGTTTTTTCTCGAAACTACATTTTTCAAATCGGTGATCAATATTTCTCGAAAACTACTGTGTTGATTTACATGAAACTTTTCGTGCCTTACTTCAAATCAGAAAAATTTGTCTTTGAGCGAAGGATTTTCTTTTTCGCTCCATACTTTGTTTTTAATTGACCAAAAACGAGTGATTTTTAGGTGAAAATCGCACTTTTTCAAAATGTCCGCCATTTTGTTCCTAATCAATATTTCGAAAAATCCCACGTTCAAGGACAAGATTGGTTCTTCCATTACATAAATCTTACTGAATTGTTAATTTCAAATGAACCGTTACGAAGATACAGTAATCACGGGAGACCACTTTTTGTGAAGAGACATCCGGGAGATCGCTCACCATTTATTTACGAGTAAATATTCTTAAATAAAGAAATTACCTTATAATCTAGAAACTGCAATCTTTGAAACACAAATACATATTTTGAAAAAGGTATTATAGTTTTCGAGAAAAAAATTCCCAAAGAACACTCTTTTTTCGGCCTCCCGACTGAACATGACCCCTTAAGCGTGGATTTAATCATCGTATTACTCCAACCCACGGACGAAAAAGTTAATGAATTAAACAAAATAATCCGAAGGTGTACCAAGGTAGATGAAAAGTTTTTCCTAAAGTTTGTATCGATTCATTATTTCTGATGTCAGAAATACAAATCGGGGCATTTAAGGATGCCATCTTTTCTTTGTGGTAGATACATGGAGTATCTTTGATAATACTTTTATGTAATAATATTTGCGTCAGTTATTTTATACGGAATAAATCACATTATGGCACTATATATGATAATTACGAGTTAGGTTGATGTAAAAATGAATTTAAAAAATGTCCAGATCAATATATCGAATATATCCCACACTCTAATACAGTCTGTTGAATTTGGCAATACGCGACAATCCGTATAATATACACTGAAAATCAATTTTCTCAAAATCGGCCTTTATACGAAAAAAAGTTCATTCTAGATGTTCCATTTACTTTTATACAAGAAATGATGTATGACGCTAACCCGAATCATATATTTTTCAAATTGTTCATAAAAGAAATGAAAAAAAAAAGACAGAAATTTTTCCAAATTGTTTCCTAGACCACTTCTGGTAGGTGAACTGGCAGAGTTCGATTATTCGACATTGGAATCCTCGGTGTTTCATAAACGTGGCTAATAGTAACTTCTCGTGAATCCCTTTAACACGATGATCCACTGTGTCGCGTACCGCAAATTTCGACCGGCAATCTTGTCACCAAGGAGCAATTAGTTAAGCCTTCGAGTTTCCTGCACCGAGGATCGGGCATACGTTGGAGAAGTAACGAGCACGGCGGGGACAGTGACGTAAATAGGGGTACCACGAACGGGGGGAGGGGGGAATGAAAGTTGGTGGTGCAGGGGAAGGTGGTGAGTGGTGTGCAATTGTGCTCTCAGTGGGTCGAAAGTTTCACGCTGGCGGGTACACATTATTCCTCGAAACTCTCGAATGTGCTTAATTAGGCGATATTTGAGGAGGCATCCCTTTGCCATCCTCTCTCGAGGTCGGCTTTACGCTCGCAAGCTGCTATTACGGAAAGCCGCTGGATTTCCGTAAGAAAACCTGCCTACCGGCTGCCGCTATCATCCCCACTATACTCTAGCCGTCTTACCTGAACTAATATTGTTAGGATCTAATTAGTACTATCCTGACACCGCCGGACCTTGTTCCTCCATACTCCACCGAGAGCTTCCCATCCCTTCTTCCCCTCTAGCACGCGTGTGTTGTTCTTCGATCCTTTCCTTCCTTCGTTCCGTCTCATCTTCCCTTGTGCACCGTTCATGGGCCGTTCCTTGCGTTCAGACCTCTCTTGCAACTCACGCAGGGGCTAGCTTACACTCTCCGTTCCCCGCTGCGCCTTGTTTCAACAGCCAGCCGAGTTACATAAGTGCCAGACGGTGTCTGAACAGAGGAGGACCCATCGGACGCTCGGCGTGCTGTTACGAGCCACTCGGGTGCGCTTAGATTATTGGGCAAATTTTGTGGACCATTTAGTTGGATAAATAGCTTGTTCGGATGGGACACGTACCGACTTGATACGTTTCTGAGCCGTGAAGCGGATAATGTTGAGGATAAATTAACTTGACCAGCTTTCTGTATTCTAAGGTATGAATAATGCTCGTGAATGTTTCTAGCGAGCGTAAATTGCAGGTGTTCTGACAGTCTAGGTGTCAGCATTGCGATAGACTTGGCACTTTTCGAGACTCACAACATAAGATTTTTGGTCTTTATACGAGCGTACAGATAGGGGAAGGTTGCTAAATTTGAATTATTTACCGTTTGAACCACAACTGGAACTTGTCATGTGGAAGGAATTTGCGCCATATGATAGACAGTATGTGTATGAAAGCGGTGATTGCATTAACTAACTGATTCAGATATAGAACTATGGACTCGTATTGTCTATCACTAATTGCTTACGCATGGCAAGTTACAGTAGTGGTTCAACGTAGGCAATGATCCGAATTCGGCAACCTTCCTTATGCCGTTTAAGTGAGTGATTATATGGCAGAAAACACAGTGTTATTAAAAATAAACTTACATTGTCATAGTGATTGTCTTAAATGCTATTTCACTTCCCTTACATAACTTACGACCTAAGGTCTTAACTAAGGATGGGAATTGATGACTAACGGAAGGGAAAGTTATGAAAATTAAGAAAATGGAAAAAAGAACACAACAGAAAGTGTGTCAGAGGAATGAAGTCCGAGTTCGGCTGGCTATGACAGTCACTGAAACCGAAGACCGTTTGGGCCTGGTCTGGTTGAGATTCAATTGCGAATGAAGAGGTTGTGTGTTCTGTTTATGGAAGTGTTCTGTTCATGCGTTCAAGTGATTGGGACAAATAGATGAATTTGGGCGTGCTTGATGAAACTTTACCGCAAGGTGAACAAGGCGTGACCACACAAGGAGAATGTAGCATATAATTTCACATAAAATGAAACTACCGTATCTAGTTTAGTGCTAAGATTATCCTAAAACGACGCGTGGTATTCTCCCTTCATAATCGCCCTTTGAGGACCACTAATTGACTTCTTGAAAACCTGCTAAAATTTAATTTAATTTAATTTAATTTAATTTAATTTAATTTAATTTAATTTAATTCATACGAGTGAAAACCCCTTTTTACAATCAAGTGATTTAAAATTGATTCAGGACTTGTGCCGATCAGAATTTTTCACTCCTCTCGGTGTGTACTGTCAACCCCCAATGTTTTAGACCCGTTTTTCTTCTGTCACCCTGTATATACCGACTGCAAACGCCTGCAGAAACCTCAGTGTTCTTGGATTCGTTCACAGAACTTTCAGCCGTAACTAAAGCACGCGAGAAAACCAGCAGGCAATTCCCTGTTGGAACTTATTAGGACATCGAGCTTGCATAAGTGGCACGGAAGTACGATTAAACGTAACTTTAATTACGAGACCTTCGCCCCGCTAACAATATTCCCCGCGAATCGGCAACGGGCGTACACGTGTATACAAAAACAGCGGGGCGTTACACGTCGCGCAATAGAAACGCAGTAAAGTCTTACGTGTGCGCGCGACCTATCCTGCAATTTACCCACGAGTGAAACTCACTTATGTACAAGTGGTTTATAATATAGCTAATATCGGAAGGTCTACACACGCCTCCTCGTAACTCGGCCATCGTAAACAAGCATTAACGCAATTTAATCCTTTTTTGATCTTGGGTAAGAAGCTACGTAGTGAGGTTCAAAAGTTCTCAGCCTGAGCAGTAAAAAGATATCGAATAAATGAATAACGTGTGTTATTTTTCAATATAGTCTCCCTTTATTGCAATACATTTGTTGTAGAGGAAAATTAACGTATTTATACCCTCAGAAAAATACTTTTATTTTTGTCTGCAAAATGCTTCAAAACAGCTTCCTTTACTTCTTCATCACCGTTAAACTTCCATACACGAAGACTAAATTTCAATTTTGGAAATAAATAATATTCACTAGGGACCATGTGGGAATGTACGGTGGATGAGGAATTTTAATAATTTTTTTGATAATAGTCTTCACTACATAAGCAATGTGGGCAGATGCGTTGTGAAGGAACCGTACTCCTTTCAAAAGTTTACCCCTCCTTTTTCTTGAATAGCAACGTAAAATTTTTGAACTAATTTGTCATAGTATTCTGCATTTACCATGGCATGTTTCTGTTTGATATCGATTACAAATATGCCAGGACAATTCTAAATATTTTTTGAATGAGTCGGCCGCTGTGTGGGTCGTCTACGAGAGATTCTCTTCCCAGTTTAAATAATCGAACCCATTCCTTTTGCAGTTGAATATGAACACGAAGCATCGCCATATATTTTACGGAAATCGACCTCGTGAAAGTCTCCCACATTTTTATCAACACCCTGTATAATGTTCCGTTGATGGTAGAAAGATTGCTGATTTCTGTTCTTGAGTCTAATATTTGTAATCGTACAAATGTGTATTTCAGCTTAATCCTTTATTAACACTTTGACAACCGATGACGCTACAGTGACGTCATGTAAGTGCCAACTGAATTAGTAGACCGATGACGCAAAACTGACATCATATTAGTCTTAACTGGTATTCTTCAGATACTCTCGACAAAAACGTCCTACTACTAGCGAAAGTTACTCGCGAAACTAGCCTATCGTCATAATGTTAAGATAGCAAAATACAAACAGTTCTATATAATATTAACAGCATAATGCTGAGGAACAAAGTACGCACGTGTTAATAGCTGCTGTTCTATTAGATTTATTTCCCTCAAATTTAATGGAATTTTCGACGAAGTACATAAGAATACAATTACGTTGCAGAAAACTTTAGTACCATGGTAGATTTGAAAAGGAAAAAATGTTACTAGATCGGAAACAGACTTCAAACCCCGTGGGAGAATTTAAAATTCACTTTTCAAGATTTTTATCCTCGATCAGTATTCGTTCAGAGAACTCATATGGTTCCACCCCATGAAGCATACGATATGGGGGATATGAATGTCTCGAATCGATTCTAATAAATCGTCTGTATTTCTGTTTTAGGGTCGATGTAATCGGGACAAGCCGCCCTGCAAGTATTTCCATCCACCGCAGCACCTGAAGGACCAACTTTTGATAAACGGCCGGAATCATTTGGCCCTGAAGAATGCCCTGATGCAGCAGATGGGTCTGTCACCGGCCCAGCCTCTAGTGCCTGGCCAGGTACCAGCAGTGGTATGTCCGAACTTTAATGCATACCTGCACCACGTCTTCTGCTGTTCACACATCCACACATTCTGTTTTTTCTTTTACCACGATCGACAGATGTTAATTTTGTCTGTGTTAGTCGACGATTACCACTAGACTACCCTTTTTTTATCGATAGGCGGCGCTGGGTAAATGAACGACAATCCGTCTACTTTCTTATCCGTTATTATAAATTTCCATAGAGCATTGAAATTCATTGTTTGTTCAGTTTCGAATCCTTTGAAAATTCTATCCATTCGACTACATTTACGTTCTTCTTAACTTGAAAAAGCTACCTTGAAATACAGATAACATGGTTCATTTTTACGTAAATAATGATTTGGACTTAATATTTTATTAAGTGTCTTATAGAGTAATTCACTGTTTCGTGATAAATCGGGTATTTATCTTTTTTTGTTATATCAAAAACTCGTGTATCTCGGCGATGTTACGAACCAAAAGGGTAGGAGAAGATAAGTCGTGTAGAAAATTACAGTGTTGTGTACCTAGTTGTCGGAAATATTTAATTACTCATTAAGTACACCTAATATTGCGATCGATTTGATTGGAGCTTATTGATATAATTGTCGTCTCAATTCCCCAGCGTCTTGAAATTCGCGGGCATTGCACCGAGAGATAAAACCTCCGCGAGTAAAGTCTAGCACGCCGCATGTTTTTGGTCAGTGTCATCCCCTGTCTCCTGAATTGTATCCATAAATCTTGATAGACAGTCAATATCAAATTTGAATCATTTAGACGGGAACAGTAGTCTTACATTAGCCTACCTAGATACGTCACGAGTTGTCAGTCGAGATGATATACATATTCTGTCGGTTCGTCGATATTATTTCGCGATCAGAATTTCCATCACACCGACGAATCGACAGAATTGTACCGTGTTCCATTGGAAACATTGTAGATCGAATAGAACGGTATTCTGTCTCTCTATCGCATGCTCGCGCGCGCGCGGGTGCGCGCTCGCACTTTTGGCGAACGGATATTAAAAAAGGTTTTAAATCGTGAGAAAATCAAGTCACAATCATTCAAACGCCCACCCGCCTTTTTATTCATGACATATATTCATAGTCGTTGCTACGTGACATTGAACCCTATACTACTCGTATGACTGCCTGTCTGTCCCCTATGTTTGCCGCTGTGGCTCTCGTGGTTGTGGTTGATTGTTGGTGTGTTCTCCAATTACGTCATTGGTGAACAGGAGGCACCGGCACCTCCGGCACCACACCATCACCTTCAACAGCAAATCCAGCAGCAACTTCTCGCTACCCACGCCTTTATGGTAACTCCTGGTTTTGGTTGGCTTCCACTAATTTTTTAGTTAAATTATATATATATATATATATATATCTCGCGTGACGGCGACGGTCCACCGAATGGAACACACAAAATTAATGGATATTAATTTAACACTATAACTGGACATTATATAATTACGAGTTTACGATACGTGTCATAATTAATTAAAAACTGTATGAAATTGAAAATTTACTCGAGTCCTTTCATGTTCTTTTTACATTGTATTATAAACACTTTCTAGTGAATAAAATTCACGGTCTGACAGTTAATGTTGCTATCGTACAGTTGTTCTGTACTTTCTTTTGCTGGACAAGAAAAATCTTCGATACGATGGCGGTTAAGAAACGAATCGAACTTACAGTTCTACATCGAGTGACATGTATCAGACTTTTAGCCGTTTGAGAGTTTATATCCACCTACTTTTGATATTTTACGGTAGTCTCCCACCATTGCTTAAAGATAAACGTTAAGCATTCAAATCTTTGCAATGCTCTATCTAGTCTAAATGATAATTAAGTGAAAAGTTTCTGTCGCCAAATTATCCAAATTATCCAATTCGAATGTGAAAACCGCTACTGTATACATGATGTAGACATTATTGTATATAATATCGATTTCGATTGCATTAAATAAGGACCCATGTGTTCAGAACTGGTAAAAGATCAATCCTATAACCTCTTCAAACTAATCTACCATCGACTGCGAATATAATATATAGAAGGTGTCTCAAAATAGCTTGGACTTCTGGAAATGAGAGGTTCCTGGGATGATTTGAAACAAGTTTTTCCTCAGCCAAAATGTTATCCGAGGTTATGTTAGCGAGATATTAACGAAAAAAGACTCGCGATCTGATTGGTTGGGATTTTTCGTTAATATTTCGTTAACCAAGTCTCGGATAACATTTTTGCTAAGGAAAAAGTTGTTTCAAATCATCCCAGGAACCCCTCATTTCCCGGAGTCGAAGCTATTTCGGGACACCATGTATAAAAGTTCAAATTATAAGGACTAATAGGAGTACAAACTACATAGAAATATTGTTCCAAGCGACCGTCTCCGCCGCGCTACTTACGATTAGTATGCCTGTAAGTTTAGTAAGCATTTGTACGAATGCTTCGACTTGGTCAAGAGAGTAACGCACCGTAAATCAAAGGAACTTGACATGCATGCCTCACACGAGATGCTCTGTTATCAATATCGAGGTCGAGAGAGACGAATTCTAGTTCTCAAGTTCTCCTTCTCTTAGACGAGTAAAGCATGAAATTCTGCGGCCAAGTTCGAATCACCGTCGTCTCCTTCGCTTTCGGGACGTACACACGCGTATTTGAAAAAAAAAAAACGATTTTACCGCTAACGAGTAACCAATCAAAATTCGATCAACGCTGTAACCTTACGGGAGCGAAGGGGTACGATCTGGCACGAGTCACGTCAGCGCTTCGAACGAACGATATTATTATAATATATGTTCCAATTGTAAGCGTGTGAAACGTTTTTTTTCCGGGTCGCGGACCATTAAGAGGATAGCCCACACTGACTGCCTGAAAATCATAGTTACCTTCGTGAAGTTACTCTAGGAATACAATCAAGTAAATTGGAAATAAGTTACAAAACCTGTAGTATACATGTATCTGGACCCCAGAGCCAAAGTGTATTAAGTCACACTTTTCAAATTTCAGAGGAGTGCAAATCAAAGGTGCAAAAACCTTGTAACTTTAGGACTGTTCTGTAAGAATTCAACGAGAAACAATTCCAACCATTGAACTATTAGGACAAGTCTCGATACATAGAAATGCTGACCATTGCATGAAGTCCCCTATGTGATGGACTTTACACCGTTCGGCTTGAAACAAGATACAGACTTAGTATTATTTTTCCACTGTTATACTAAAAACTAAAGAACTAAGAACAAAATAGTGCGTACCATCGGGAAGAGTAAAAAATTTGATACGGGAAACATGTAAAATTTAATTTTCTTTTAAAAGTGGACTTAATACACACTCAGGCTCTGGGGTCCAGATATATGTTCAAATGTACAAAAAGTTTGCTAACAAAGTACCTAGGATTTTTCCAATAACATAAAAACTTTCTTTTTTTTAAACGGTTTCGAATAAAACCTCTTGGGTAAAATCGATTCTTTTATGTCAAATGTTCACCGTTTTTACTAAACTAAACATTTTGAAAAAGTCCTGCGTACTTCGCTAGCAAATTTCACTTAGAAAATGAAAAATTTCGATCTTTTGCTTTAATTCGAACCTAGCGACCGAAAAGGTGCTCTACAGAAGCGGAACAACACCGTCATTTTGTATGAAAAAAAAAAAACATTTTTGAATATTTTAACATGTATACGTATTACACGTTCTATCACTCATTTCCAGTTTACATTATTTTATTCCGAGAAAACATTCACAGAGGTGTATACCAATAGCTTTCGGGTGGTCAGGGTGAGCTATCCCCTTAACCATCGGGGGTCCATCCGTTCAAACGGGGTGAAGTTTGGGTTTTTTTTTTTTGTTCGACGGTAGTGTGTGTTTGTTTCTCTTCTTGGCGTGCCTCGTGCCCGGAAAAGCTTTCTCTATACGCCCGAACGGAAAGTCCGAGGAACGAGAGCAGAGATAAAGAAGAAGAAGGGACGGCCGTTCAAGCAAATTACCCGCCTTCGCTTCTGGGAACCACTCGTTCCCTGCAAAACTGAACGCTTCTTGGAGGTGAACTTGTCGCTGGAAAAACTCGAGTCGGGGAGAAATAAACGATGATTAAGACTCCGCGAGTAGGAACGAGGCCCCACGCTTTTGTTCGCGGATCTTTTGCTCGTCACACTTAACGTTCGCGATGCCATTGAATTTGTTACATCCACTTCTTCGAGAAAGAGAGAGCTTAATTTTTCTTTTTAAAGTGCCTTCGAAACTTCGGATAATGTTTCATTTCGGCTGTACGGTTGCGTTTACGTGATTTATTCAATATACAGAGTGATCCCGAAACTGTAGTACAACCCGAGGAGAAGTGATTCTATACGCGAAAATAAGCCGAAAATATAGAATAACATTTGTTTTTCAAAATTCATGTAACACGTGTCCAACCCTGAGAGTACGACCTGTCAGACACAGCGGCTGGGTCAATCGTAGCCCATAGCAAAGTAACGAAATATTCGTTTCATCGATGTATAAAAAGTTCGATAATTGTGCTTACTGATGGGTCACCGGTGACCCGCCATAGGAACGCGAGGGCTAATGTATCTATTTGTGGTGACAATAACTACAAAAGAACTGTAATGAACAGTAGCGTTAACCAAGTCCTATTGAATTGAACGGGTAGGTCTCCAGTAAATATTCAGATGCGATTATCTTGAAAACAAACCATCGTACAAAAAATTTTATTTTATATTTTCGACCTATTTCTTCTCGTAGAATCACTTCTCCTCGGCTTGTATCACTATTTCAAAAACATCCTGTGTATTTTAATGTTTTGGGCTACAGTCTTTTAAAAATTTATAAACGCAAGGCTGTAGAAACATTCTGAACAAACGAAAAATTGATGTTAAGCTGACCTGCAATATTTATTTCTCTCAACGATGTTCTTGCAAGCTCGCGCGTTACATTAGTTTGAATGATTTCAGTAAAATTTTCTCAATTGACTATCAACTACCAAATATAATGTACAGGGTGTAACAAAAGTGTAAGTAACACCCTGTATACTTTCTATTAGATGGATATTTTATATATTAATTAGTTAACAAAACATTCTTCGCTTATTGTGTATAACGTAATAGGTACGTCTCGAAATTCTCCAACCTTATTTCGAATCGTCCTTGTCACACACTCAGTTCACGCAATCTCGATGGACAAATTCAATTGGTACTCGCGGCGTCTCGATACTTCCTGGTCGAGGACGGGGCCTCCAAACAGCCGTCGTTCGTCATCGTAAAGTCTAACGGGGAGAAGGGCGTTTGGTAGTATGTACATTATGTGACATTGAATCGAGTTTGGTCCGTGCAGGGGGCCGTTTAATTTCACGCGTTCCCTTTCCACTCGTTCGAAACCACGTGGCAACCAGACACGTGTCGGGAACAGTGAAAAAAGAGGCGTAAACAAGTAAAATCAATCGCGCTACTCTCTCTCTCTCTCTCTCTCTCTCTCTCTCTCTCTCTCTCTCTCTCTCTCTCTCTCTACTTTCTCTTTCTCTTTCTCTCTGTCTCTCCTCCTTCGATTTTCTGTCACGCAACTGTACAAGCTTTTTCTCGGTCGTAATCGGAGAGGACAAGTTTGAAGGGGCTAGCGTAAATAAAAGTGGCAATTTATCGAAGACGATTCATGTGGAGCGAAGGTGGGTCCAGGTTTGTTCTAATCCGTGTTACCTGGATACTTTCCGGGTGTGTTTTCACAGGCGACGAACCCGTACCTGACCGGTATGCCGCAGGTTGGCAACACGTACAGCCCGTATTTCGCCCCGAGCCCGATCATGCCCGCGATAATGGGGCCAGCCGATCCGACCGGAGTAGGAAGCCCCCTCGGCGTGGTGCCGCAAACGGTCGCGATGCCGCAGAAGATGCCACGTACCGATCGCCTCGAGGTATGTCTACCACCAAACTACATTCAACAACAACAACAACAACAGCAACAACAACAGTGACAACAACAGCACGGGGCCCAACACGGCGCAGCCGGGGCCTCAAGGTGCCCGATGGCCGTGCCAAATACCGTGTACCAAGTGCCGGCCGGTCCCCCCAATCAAGTGTCGCCTGTTTCCACGATGCAATCTGTCAATCATCCCCCATCCCCGACCACGATCACGACCACCTCCTTTTGTACACCGTTGCACAATCCGCACCCCCACCATCATCCGATCCACAACCTGATCTACGTCCACGCGTACTATTAAAGTCGATCGTCGATCGGTGCTTCTTTCTTTTTTCTTTTTTATTACTTTCTTCTGCCCAAGACTGTTTATATGTACCATTACGATGGGGTTCACCCGACTGAGAATCATTGGGACTGACAAGGAGAACGCCCGTCTATCGGAGCGACTGTTTTCAGATTTCGAGGGATCAGTTTTGAACTCCAATGAACAATATGTTGCATTGAGCATTTCGCGATATTGTCTGTTTGCCTTGGAAACTTTTCTAAAGACCAGATTCTGTATTCGGCGGTAACGAGAGGTGGACAAAGTCCTAGTGCATATCAATTAGTATACACTCGAATTGTTATATGTATCGATGCGGAATTTTTATTTGTTTCCAGAAAATCTCTGCACTTTTGTGTGTGTATAAAGTATCGTCAGAAATGTTTGACACCGTATTTCGTTGAAAATGAGAATACTGCATACTATTTCGAACAAAATGGATATACAGGATTGAGGAACGAAAGAAGGAAGTTTGTGAGGTCCCGAAATGGTTACAGAACAACTTCCTTAGACGTGAAGAAAATCATGGTAGAATAATGATAAAATGCTACCAAACTCGATGATGATAATGTACATTTATTTTAAGAACCGTAAGGATCGTGCCTTCCTGTTAGAACAATTTTGTAGATTCTTCGAAGACAATATCGAGTTCTTATCACGGACCTCTCCTCATGATTTTCCGAAGAAAGAAACATTTCATCCTTGCATAGAATTGTAGAACTGTTGCTAAGTATTGTGTGGTACGTTATCGCTTGAGATCAAGACTGATTCTTCAAACTGTCATCAGAGTGTAATCTAGACCAGCTGTCTCCTCGTGAGTCCATTCGCCACGCGCTCGAAACGTTCTTTTCAAATGATTTTAGCCGACGGGTGCGCGTGAATATGCTTTCGTTTTTTTATTTTTTTATTATTATAATTAAAGTGCTTTATACAGCGCGCATGTTTCGAAGAAAGACGGGATTGATTCGACGGAAGAACGTGTCCGTGAATATCTGTGTTAGGCGTCTTTTTTTTTAATAAAAAGAAACAGACGAGGAACCTGGGCTGGAAATCGAAGAACACCTCACGTAGGTTCTCCTGCAGACTCAGAAAGGAGCGTCTAACAGAAAGGCTATATATTTCTATACACATTTATCCGTGACGATCGAGTATAATGCACGTGTAATTAATGGAACAAGGTGATAAGAATTTTCTTCAAATGCACGCAATTGTTACTTACAAGTACCACTGAACGGCACTCTTTCTTGTTATATAGAAGATGCCTTTTGGCTACAGAACAAGATCAACGGATCAGATATGATTCGCTTTTGTTTCGCATTATGCTGGACGCGTACTTATATATAATACGTTAATAGAGATACAAACTAACGATTGGTCTGCGGATTTTTATGAAAATATAAATATTTCTGGACTAATTCACCGGAAATTGGAATCCAAGAAAACTTCGTTATCATTATTGAGGGTTCTTTAACCCTTCGTCGAATCAGGAAGGCCGCAGCGGTTCTCCCCGAATTTCTCAAGTAAGCACGCTTCAATGCGTGTTCGTTGGACCACTTGAAAATTTCTGTAACCCTCTATTGTACCGTCGAGTTTTTAAATGTTACAAAGCAAATTCGTTTGCATTGACCAGTTCCAGAAATAATGGTCCTAAATCTATCTTAATTTGGAAATCCAAATAAAAGTTAAAGTTCTAGGTAAAGTAAAAACCTCATTCATTGTTTTACTTATCTTTACATCTTACAGTACCGAGCTTCTAATAATCGTCCTAGCATGCACAAAAATCCGCAGTCCTATTGACAATATGGAGCAAACGAAAAAATGTGATAAGTATTCGATTTGCAAATTAGGGATTTATGAAATGTTATTTCTGTTGTTTTTTTTTTTAAATGTAATTCTTTGCTAATTAATAATTAATTAATATTTAATTTCTTTAAAAAATTCTGTATACTTTCCATGAATTTGTCAATAATAACACTTACCACATTTTTTTATTTGATCCATATACTATAAGAATCGATCGACAGTTCTTGTGATTTCTTTGGTTTCTTTCACATCGAAATTCCTCCGACACGGTATTTACAGTCGGGAACAGGCTATCGGAATAAACAACGGTAAAGAACGCTTCCTGAAAGCCTCAGCTCGCGCCCAGTCCAGCCTGACCAATAATCGCCTTTATACGGGATCACCGATTGTTCCATCAACTATACGAATCGCGCGAACCCGGTCACAGTCGTTTCACAACGTCATGGCAATCGTCGGTATGTCGAGAGACACTTTCTTGGATTTCCCGTTGATATCGACGGTGTATCGATGTTTAACGAGAACGGTGGTATCGCCGCCGCGCCGGGGATGATCCCCGTGAAACTGGTGATTTCACGGATCGCTTGTGACCCGGGCGAACTGGGGCGAAACGGGGCTCATTAACGATGGAAACGGAAAACGTAAATGGCGAATCGTGTTCCCCAGTGAGGTGGAAAGTAAAACAAACAAACAAAAAAAAAATAGAAACGAAAGGAACACGAGAGAGGTAAAAAAAAAATTCTTTGACAAATGGAGAAACACGCTCGATTCGCCGGTGAGAGTTCCGCGTGCGACTCGCCGAGCTGGGATAACTTTACTGCGAGCGTGGACATGCACGATTTATATGTACTCTTAATAACTTTACAACTATGGTTATCCGGTAGCATTATGGACGTAACGTTTCGATTAAGAGGGAACTCATTAACGCGCACGAGTTAGGGGATAAAGATTAACGGGCCCGGCTTCTCTCGAGGCCGGCCTCGTGGAGATTGTAATTGTACATTGATAAGGTTAACTAAAACTGTAATGGCAACGACGAAGACCGTGATGATAATTATTGATTATATTATTGGAATAATTAAAAGTACGCGACAGAGCGTAGCGAGATGAACAGAAGGAACGAGTATAGGCGGGCATGGAAATGTGCAACGAGTTTCGACGTGTGAATTGTTTGAAGTTGATGTGTCGTTGTTATTTTATAAATGCTGAATTTCGGATCGTGTATTCGTTTCTTTTTTTTTTCGGATGATACACTGGTGTTTGAGGAGGACATTGTGCTCGAACTATTACCGATTATAACGATTCTTAGTGATAATCTTTTTTCTTGTAGCTGTTTTAATTAGTTCGAAAGAATTGATGGTTCGTTCTGCTGAAATTAGATGGTAGATGTAGAATAGGAATTATAGTATAGCCTCGTGGCTGAATAGATGACATACTCTTCGTGGAGTACATTTATTCATTGTACATTATTTCATTGTCATTATTATAATAGTAACGTTTAGGAACTGGTAATAATTGATGAACTTGTTCGTTCTACTGAAAATAAATCAGTCCGCAGACTGTTTAAACACACGTTCACTGCCACATGGAATTTTTGCGATTCATGTTGCTATTACTTCAGGGCCAATCAATAGTATCATAATTACGTGATTCATTTGTTATTATCGTAATATTATTATTATTTTATTTATGATAGTGTGCGTAATATATTTCTTCAAAGATATATTGTAATACGTGTGTAATCGAGATACGCATACTCTGAGTACTCTATTCATCCTAAAAGTTAAGTACCAGATTAATTCCAGTACTCATTGCTTTTAATTTATGATATCTAACAATTTCATAATTGATTATCGATAAAATAATACTCGGAAACTTGCCGTTCAACATAGTCCTAGATTAGGTACATGACTGCATTATTGCGTCCGTGTTTTTCGTATTGTACTGCATCACTATTTTTCATTTCATATTATTCTCTATATTTTCATTCTTCATCGTATTTATATCTCATTGATGCAAGGGAAATATTTCGTGGTTATTACTGTTATTCATTTTTACTCCTAATAGTAGAAGATAAAAGCAAGTCGTTGTGTATTAACATTACCTTTTATCAGAGATGGGCAAAATTTTTATCTAAATAAAAATCGTGAACAAAGAAAGAAAGATAAAAAAGTTTTTATAGTTACTCAAAGCTTGAACAAACAAGTAATTTATTCAACGAGAGATAAGTAAAAGTTACTTTTTGTAATCATGGCGTTTCACTCATAGCGTCGACGATATTTTCATCTTTCACTTTTATCTTTATCCGAAAACTTCGAGTAAAACCAGCGACCGAAAGTCGGCATACAATGTAAACAGACGTAGATAGATTTACTCGATGTTTTCGGATAAAGATAAAAGTGAAAGATGAAAATATCGTCAACGCTATAAGTGAAACGCCATGATTACAAAAAGTAACTTTTACTCATCGAATAATTCTCGTTGAATAAATTTACTTTTTTGTTCAAGCTTTGTATATCGATAAAAGATAAAGTATCTTTTATTCAAATAGTTATTTAAATAATTTTTCATCTCGATAATGCCCATCTCTGCCTTCAGTGAGACTACGTAGAAACAAATCAATTCGTGACAACGAAAATTTCGTTACTTCTGTGCCTTCACACCACTAGGTTTATATTTTTTATTCTTGTATATGTTTATCTTCTATTATTTTTTTCCTTTTCTCCGGTTGTATACATAGGTATTACGTTGCACTATTATTCCATAAAAAAATGTTTAACGTACTCGTACTCTTAACTCACACACGTTCGTCCATCGCAAAAATCGACAATAAATCGGCCACTGAGCGTAGAATGGACTAATATTTCACA